CCACTCATAGAGAGATCCTCATTTCGTATCCAGTCTCTGAACGAGAGGCTCGAATCTCTTAATAAGTGGTGCCTCGATAGACGTGGTTAAAATTTTCTATGTTCAACATATTTCAGAGATCCCAGTCTTTCTACGAGAGTCTCGAGTCTCTCAATTTTTCAGTTTTATTCATTCAGTCTCTCTGTGAGANAGTGCATACGCTCAGTTTGAGACACTTTTTTCTAAAGCGAAAGCAATATGTGAAAATCATGGTATAGCACTAATCATTCCGAAGACAAATAAATATGTAAACGTAAATATCATGGATTCAGAATAGTGTATTATCGTAATATCCCATTTTTACAGCCCTTATTTCAGAAACTCAGAATAGATTTTTGGTTCACAAAAGTATTCCACCTTCTTTTTTCTGTTTGCTCTCTAGCCATGGAAATATAAGCAATTTAGATCTATTGGTCAAATTTTGTAAGAGTGACTTACTAGAAAATGGTACTTTTATCAACACTGAACAAGTACGTACAGAATATTTACTGTAAAAAAGACGAATACGTGAATAAAATGAAAAAAAAAAACAGGTGTTTAATTCCCACCAGCTACTAATCTAGACTACGCCGGAGGATAGGGTGGTAGATCCTCTTCAGCCTCTTTCGAGGAATCGTGGAAATGGATGGGTAGTGGTCGAAGTGAGAAAGATGAGACGGACGAAATAAAAACAAGAGAGTGAAAAATTATCTGTGAAATACCCCACTGCCCCAGCATTTACCTAAGTGATCCAAGGAAACCACAGAAAAACATAGGTCAGGGCAGATGGACCCGGAGACGAACCGGTATCTTCATGATAGCGATTCAGGGCCAACAAGCTTTTCGGTGGCTTTGAACGAAAAAAAAATTAGTTTACTTAAAATATTTAAAAATTCGACCATTAAGGATGAGATACTTCAACCCTGTCGATGATAAAAACCGAAAAAAACCTTTGCGATGCTCTTGACTTAAACACAAGCGAATTCTACAGTAACCTATTGTATTCGATATTTCTTCTATTAATATCAATATTTTAAAAAAGTTTTACCTGTTCGATTCCCTGCGAGGCTATGACAGCAGCAACAACCAGTTTTACCTCATTAACTTGAGGTAATCTGTAGTGTGATGAAATTAAATAGATTTAGCATTAATGCTTGATAATCGTTTTTTTTTGTTTATGAATGCACATTTTTGAGCGTGTGAGTGTAATACTTCAGTTGGAAAAATACAGTACGACAATTGGCTATTAGGTTACACCCCCCCCCTTCCTCAAAAACAGAATACTTCGCTAGGAGCCTGTAGGTAGGTAAGTATCTATTTATATTGTGTAGGTTATGTAGCTACACTGAAGAAATTTTAATAAACCTCTTTTTCTAATGAATTCTAGGTACATCCGAATTTCATGAATATTAATTAAATACGTATCTACCTACATTATCATAACATCGACTTTCATTCTTAGTCATTCTTAGAAAACAGGCAATAGGATTTACAAATTGTAAAGACTGGAATACAAATTAATATTCTTTTCAACAGCATGATAGTGGCCATCAGTAGTGAGTCAGTACACTCCCTTCGAAGACAGGTAAAAGACCCGCACCTGACATTCAAACTAAACAGGTTGAAACACGTAGAAAGCTACTCAACAATAGCTCAATGCCACAATAAAGTTACCGTTTGTGTTCCTCTACCATCCACCTTGTTCCTACAATAATATCTTGAACGAATTACAATCCTGTTTTTCCGGATATATCAAGAAAAGATGCTAAACGTGGTCGTTTTCTTTTTTCAAGGTAACGACCGCTATATTGATTATTTGTATAGTCTATAAAGTATGACCCCAATTTCAGTTGGTCCACTGCAATAATAATAATAACCTGAATTGCTAAAATAATCCCTTCGTAAAAATAGGATCTAGGAAAAGAAGTCCCCGGAAAAAGTGCCCGACCGGAAATTAGTTCAGAGAACCCGGATTGTGATCAGATGCGGATCAGATTTTCCGTAATACGGGCATCTGATCAGTTTCTGATCAGAGTACAGCACTCTATCCGTTGATCCACCCAGCTGATCAGTTTCTAATCAGAGTACAGTACTCTTTCCGTTAATCCACCGATCTGATCAGTTTCTGATCAGAACAGTACTCCGTTCCTTGATCTGGTCATCCGATCAGAAATTGATCAGCGCACAGTACTCTATCTGTTGATCCAACCATCTGATCAGAAATTGATCATAGTAGAGTATCCTATCCCTTAATCCAATCATCTGACCAATTTCTTATGACAATCTAATGCTACAAATTCCATTACGGTTTCGGTGCAATCTTTAAATCAAGATTGTATCCGATGTTCTGAACTGGATCATAATACAGAACTTTATTTTTTACCTGATTTATTCTGTATGCAATATTGTTCGTTAACAAATAATAATACATTAATAATTATTATTAGTAATGTTATGACTAATTAGCAAATAGTTTGNGTGCTAATAATTATCTATATTTTTTACAATCATTTTAAATCGAAAACTTTTCCGTTTAGTTAGATTTAGTGTTATTATTTACTTTATTTACATTTCTTTGGTCAGTTCAACTTCAAACATTTGTTCAAACATTTTAAGTCATAAATTCCTTTGCTTTATTATTTGGTTTTATAATATTTGTGAATAATTTCATTGTCATACAGACAAAATGTACGTGATGAATTCAATAATTCCTGGTAGCATAAATTAGGTTTTTTGTCACTAATACCTAGCTCATTGTTAACTCTTTCATACCTGTTTCTAGACTTTTCTATATCTGGTTGTACTCAACACCCTCTCGTATATGACGGAAATTCCTATATTTATCCACCACCATAATATCTTTCATTTAGACTCCACCCCCTTTCTTAGTTCTCTATTTTTTAAGTAAATTTAATTTTGTTAGTTAGTGTGTAAGAAACATTCTCATTAAAAACATCAATTAAATTCGCTACTAGTTTTATTTAAAACATTCTAGTAGAACGGGAGTTCAGTAACGCATCTTCCGAGTGGTCTCCGGATAATTTTTTATCTTACGACTGCAAAAACACTAATCTCTCTGAGTTAATCGTAAGTTAGTCACAAGCTTCATCCCTCGTATGTAGTTGACCAGCACGCATACGCCTACCTGTTTTAATCCCAGCGCCGTTATGCCTCAAGTATGAATGAATGAATAGAAACAAGAGTACAAACTTAATGCGAACTGAACTGGTCGAAAAAGACTAATCACTAATACAGTTATTCGATTATTAAAGAAAACAGAACTGTTATCAGTACACCAAACAAGGGAACGTTTCTCACAATTTAAACTCGGCTGCCACTTTGCCAAACAAAAAACTCAAAATCAGAACGAAAATGCCTTGGAAAAATTGAACCAGAAGTTCCCTTGATCGAAAGCGGGCGCGAAGTTCTTAAAAAAAAAACGAAAATAATCAGAATTTTAGATGCTTTAAAAAACTGTACTTTTAGTTTTTGAGCATCCCATCACAGAGTTCCTACTTTTCGGGGACTCCTTATAGGGCCCCACATAGTGTTTGTTTTCGTCATCCTTATGTTAGAATTATAGCCCGTTTTTATATAGAACGCGTTTTCCCTAGTTAGAACTAGCTTTTACTAAATTCCTTTGTAAAAACTAGAATTAACTAATGCTCAAAATTTAATATCAGTTAAAAGTAGTTCTTACTAGACAAAACTTATACTGATTGGTTGCAATAACAAGTAGGTCCTCGTCCTTTCTTATTTTTAAGGTTGTTTGATTATTTTTTATTGTGTTAACCAATGTTCCTTTTTTAAATTTTATGGTTGTGTTCTGTAGACTTTTGATTATTTTATTTATTTTTAATTAATATTATCACCTTGGCAACTACTTAATATCGATGTTCCCTAAAATGTTCTAGTGTAAGATTATTATTTATTTACTAGGTGCATGACTCTGTATCCTAGATCTTTTAATAAATATTTTTAAATATCAAATGTGGAAATTCATTTTCCATTTAAGCTAACGTAAATTACCTCAAGTTAATGATGAAAAACTTTTTGCTGTTGTCACACCCTCGCCGGGAATCGAACCCGAGACCTTTGGCTGTATGCATAAATGCTCTGATCACTAAGCTACGAGAGATAACAACAGCAACAAATCTCCTCATTAACTTGAGGTAATTTATAGTTGGTTTAAATGGAAAATGTACATTTCTACATTTAATATTTGATATATTAACCACTAGTAATATCAAACTGTTTCATATATATAGTATAAATATTTTTATTTTTTCTTGTTTTTTATCTTTTTTATATTTTTATTTTTTCTTGTTTTTTATCTCAAATTAGTTTCACTAGTGCTAGTTTTAACTAAAGCTCGAAGTGACATCTAGTTTTATCTGAAAATCAAATATGTATATCAGTGGTAAATTCTAATTTTGACTAGGTATTTCTTGTTTTACAAAGGCATTTAGTAAAAACTAGTTCAAACTAGGGAAAACGCGTTCTATCTAAAAACTGGTTTTAACTGTAACATATATAAGTGCGTGAAAATTATGTTGAGTTTGAAAACCGAAATTTCTTAAAGAAAGCACTTTTTAACATTGACATAATTATTGTAATAAAGTTACAAGATTTTTTTTCTGGTTTTGTATACTTACGCTTATCTATTCGTTTGTGAGCTCATGATGATCGATAAAATCTTGATCAATCATGTGTACATTTTCTATTAATAAAAACCCATAGGGCAATCAAATTAATAACAGCCGCGCCATTCCCATTTTTAATGAAGTTGTAGTGGGTACGTCAAATGTTTTACAATGATACTGTACATCATTAGCCAGTCCCGTAACATTCCCTTCAGCAAAACAACATATAAAAGAGTTTTTTGAACAGGAAATTAAACTATACCCACACAACAAAAGAAAGGGGTGCATCTGGTGCCTTACATAATAAAAGAACTAAGGGTATCTACGTCAAGTACACACCTGTTAGTAATATTATCACATTGATCCTGCCCTGGCAGTGACATAACGTGAGACATGTCCACCTGCAAGCTGTGGTCGCCGGCAGGTTTTTCTTGGACAAGGTGCCCGGGAGCAGTATAAGGAGGAGGAAGAGGTGGTGCCTGACCCCTCTCCAAAGTTCCCTCTGGAGTATGCATTCTAAAAATTGAAAAGACACCTGCTTTAGTACATACTAGTAAATCGTTGTGCACTAACTAAATGCCTTGCAATTCACTATGCTTTCTGAAGTATTTCAAATTAAACAAATTTGATTTCTTAAACATAAAGGGAAAAATAGATGTATTACAAACTTTTACATGTTCATAAATTATTTGCTTAAAACGATTCGAAGAACGATATATTTCAAAGCTAAGGTAAAAACATATGTTTACAAAAAAGTTGTAAAAAAGCCCCGCAAAGAAATTCCTTCGGAAAAAAAACCCCGGAAAAAATTCCCGTATTCTAAACGTTATCAACACTTCAAGTTATTATCTTTCTTGATGATGATAACGTTGAATAGACAGCATGAGTTCTAGTCAATTACTTTTACTTTTTGCTAATATGTGTAACGATAACATTATGTTGGGAGTTGACTTTCCAAAAAGTATTTATTATTTATCTCTAAGAATACTTCACAAACAAAAGTTTGTTTTCTACTAATATTACAATTTAAAACAACAGGTAATAACGTTGTAGCTAATTATCTACTCGATCTATTCTTATTTCTATTAAATTGTATTGCGAACATTTTGTACGTTATTTCATTGTCAGAAAGCAATATTTATAAATATTATGTATAAATTATTTGAAAACTAAATAATAACAGAGATAAACAATTTCCTTTTCTGCAGTCATTACACAAACAAGTATTTTTTTATTTGCATGTAGTACACTAGATCGTGGATCTGTCGACATACAGATATAAAAACTGTCTGATAACTGAACCACGTTACATTTCTAATAAAATTTACCATTTACAATCGAAGGTATTAATTTTTTCAGAGGGGAAATTCTTTTCCTGAGGCTTTTTTTTTTCGGAAGATTTTTCCCATTACCCTGTAAGAAGTGACGTATTTTGCTCTCTATAAATTTCTTTCGAGCTTACAATACACTCAACAGCCCAACATAGTAAATTCATCCCGTAATAGGAGTAATCTTTAACGAACTGTTGCTGCACTAAACTTCGGATTTGTATTATTCCTCCGAATGTTATTTTTAATTTGGGCCCAAATAAGTTCTATATACAGTGGTAGGCGAACAACTGTATGTCCATTTTCACTTGCCAATTTGTCAACATTGTAACATTTTAGGACTTCTCTAGATTTCAACACCTCTAAGAGTTCAAACAATGCTCGCTGTTGAGATACAAACACCACCCAAATTATTTTATAACTTAGCACATCATAGGGTATTATAAACCACTCAGGATGTCAAAGCCATAACCGCACCATATCTTTTGGTCAACTCTACAATTCAAACGAAACACGTTTTATGTTCTGTTATGTAGCTGTGTCTACAAAATCCAAAATAGTTTCTGCATAACCATCAGTGGCGCCAAAATGTAGCAGAATAAATAATTAAACATTTTTGTTCGATTTTAGCTGGAAAGATAAACTTAGTAAAGACTATTGTCCCTTAGCATTATCACTAAATACAATTCGGGCCGTCCTCCTTATTTCTGCGGATGCAAACCATTCGATAAAATAGGCTTATAAATCTTCTGAAACTTTTATTACTTCAGCCGCCATTTTAGATGATGCATAGTTTAACTGTTATTTGAGTACCTGTTTCAAAACTTCCTTTAGCTTCTTACTGATTCCTTACCGTAATCTACTAACTTTTAAATCCTCCTTTATAGTTTCTAGGAAAAGATTAGGGTCAGTTAAAGACATATTAGAAACAGAAATATGAACTAAGAGGCGGAGAAGTAGACCTAGATTAGATTACTGTTCACAAATAGTTAAGGATTTGAGATGTTCTAGTTCTAGAGAAATGCGAAGATTAGTTCAGGATAGGAACGAGTAGAGATACGTGTCCAACCAGTTTTAGGACTGACGACCTAATGATGATGATGATGATGATAATGAAGTAGAAAAGTTCCAATCGATCCTTACTATCTTCAAATTCGACTTTTCAGACAATTTTTGTGTAATTGCATAATTATCATTGTAAATGGTTTGATTATTCCGTTATCATCCTTACCGGCCGAGCACAAGAAGCTGAACTTATAGTCATTTGATCATCAACAATCAGTCTGTTCCATTTCATTTTCGGATTTCCACAGCAAGATGAACAATTAAGAATAAATTAAAAGTGTAAGCATTCATGCATATATATGTATTTTAATCATTTTTTAATAAACTTCTCATAAAGCATATAGGTGATGCGTTAATTGTTCTTACAACACTTAGAATATAAACTCGAAATTACTTCAGGTCAACGTTCAAATTTTAAAACAGTCTAAACACTTAAAAACGTTTTGACAATTTTTTTACCTATATTATTCAATAAATCCGCACTTGTTTACTATTTTACGGTGTTGTAGATTGAAACTATGCAATTTTCTTTATCTGTGTTTATCGATGAATTTATTCCAAAGTCTATTCATTATTTTTTTATAATTTCTAATGAATCTACAACTGATGTGTACCTTTTTTTATTATTAATAATGCTTTAAAATGTTTAACGTACCTATGTGTTTACAATATGTAGCAGTGGTGCATTTTTACTAGGATTACCAACTCAACATTTTAGAAAGTCCGGAGATCGTTCGAATAAGTCTGGAGACATCCAATTAATAAATATATAAATATACAAAAACAGACCTTACTCGTTTTGAATAGTTAAAAAATAATCAAGTAGTACATTAATTAATTTATTTCAATATTTTAAATAATAAAAACCCAAGTATTGCTGCAGAGGTCAGAATGTCATATGAGAGTACTTAATCAATCATTTTGAACCGAAAACTATCGGCAAGATGGGTTCGTAACCTCCTGACAAAGCAAACCACCTTATGGTGGTGAATGACTCCTGGTGAGATAGCGACTAGACGGGGCTGATTTTTCGAGCCGTATTGTTACGTGTGTGCATTACACCCTGGAGTCAAAGCAAGAGGTATGGAGTGGGGAAACTTGGAGAAGTGCCACTTCTAAAAGTCAAGTCCCGTCTTTGTGCAGAAAAAGTTTTTTTTCTTGATGAAGTGAAGCTCGCCTTTTAGAAATGTTCATGCCTAGAGATGCGACCACTTTTTTAATGAAAAAATGTGTATATAAAAAAGAAGATGAATTGATTTCTTACGTTCGCAAAGTTTGTAGACGGTTTGAAGAAACGAATGCAGAAAAGGTCATTTTCGATCCGACTTAGTACAAAAAATTTAGAAGGTTTAGCCTATTTTTGTGCTCTATTTTCTTGTCTACCTATCGCCTATCGTTTCTTCATTTGAGAGGAAGCAATTCCCTAATCTAATATAATCATAATCATCATAAAGTCGTCAGTCCTTAGACTTTAACTATTTACGAACAGTAATCTAATCTAGGTATACCCCTACTTCTCTTAACTCCTGTTTCTGTCTCTAATATGTCTCTGACTAGACCTTCATGCCTGGGAAGGTGTCCTACCAACCTATCTCAGCTATTCTTTATTAACTTCCATAGAGTTCCCCTTTTCATTCTAATACCTCTTCATTTCTAACCCTTTTTATCAACAGTATTCTCATTATTCGCCGGTAACACCACATTTCGAACCTTTTTTTCCGCGACGCCCACCGTCCATGTTCCGCACCCGTACTGTGCCGCGCTCCAAACATACACCTTTAACAATCTCTTTCGAATTTCTAAATTAATCGTTGGCGAGCATAGAAATGCCTTTTTTTTGTTGAAGGCGACTCGACCCTGCGTTATCCTGTACTTTATATTCGTACTAATCCTTCCGTCCTGACTTATCTAACTTCCTAGATACCTAAATTCAGGCACTTCTTCTCCTTCTCTCTTCCGTCTCCTATCTTTATATTCGCTCTTTCCCTACTATATCTTCCCTTGCATACCAGTATTTTTGTTTTACTTTTATTTATTTTTATACAATACTGTTTTGTTAATACCGCTTCCATTTTTTTTAAAGCTATCTCCAACTCCTCCTTGCTAGATGCTAATACTGCTATATCATCTGCAAATCTAAGCATGCTAATCTTTTGCCCCTGGATATATATCCCTACAGTTGTACTGTCTTTAATGATGTTAATCGCGTCCTCGATGTATAGATTAAAAAGTATCGGTGACAGTGTGCTTCCCTGTCTGACTCCCCTCGTAATATTTACTTCTCTACGTTGCTGCCCCAGCTCTTAACTGCCTGGTTGCTCTTTATACAAACTAAATATCACTCTTCTATCTCTGTATTTCATCCCTACATTTTTAAATATATTTAACATCTTATCTCATTTAACATTGTCAAAAGCTTTTTCTAAATCTACAAATCCTATGTACGCGCTCTTTCCTTTTTCTATCGTTTTCTCTATACGGGTAACAACCCGTAAAACTAAAATGGTCTCCCGCTTTCCTCTATTTCTTCTGTACTCAAATTAATCTTCCCTAATATAATAACGGATATTTAATAAATGACCAAGGGAAGAGAAGAGCCCATAAGAGCTATAGACGCGAGGCTGACGCACCTATGTTAACGCGAACGGTTGCCGTGTCAACGGTGACGTTAACGGCAAATTTGTTCCCCACTCGTCACCGAATAGGTATGAGATCGCGAGTCCTCTTATATGTGTACGTTAGTTGTTCGTATTTGCTGTTCTTTTGACTTTTTGCACTGCTACAATTTGTAAATACATACATTTAACATTTTAAAGGATTACTGAATAATAAAAATAGATACACAGTTGTAGTTTCATTAGAAATTTCAGAATAATATAATACGAAACGAAAAAAAAAACGAATCGTCAAATAGAATTTAATATATCCATCGATAAACACAGGTAATGAAAATTACATAGTTTCAATCGACAACACCGTAAAATCGTAAACAAGTGCGGATTTATTGAATAATGACAGTAAAAACATTGTCAAAACACTTCATGGTGTTTAGACCATTTTAAAATTTATACGTTGACTTGAGAAGTAAACCTATTCGAGTTTATATTTTAATAAGTGTTGTAA